CCAGAGGAGGGACAGTGGTGTGGACATGTCCAGAGGAGGGACAGTGGGTATATTGGTAGAAGGATGTTAGAAATGCAGCTGCAGGAAAAAGTCAAAGAGGAGACATATGATGCAGTTAGAGAGGACATGGAGGTAGTTGGAGTGAGGACAGAGGACACAGAGGACAGAGTGAGATGGAGGAGGACTCACTGTGGAGACCCTGAAGAGGGAGAAGCCAAAAGAAGAAGAAGTTTAATATGTTGTTTAATATAAAATTTACACTTTTACAAAGTGAATTTCACTGAGTTCTTGTCCTGTCGCTCTGTGGCATGAAAACATCCACTGCAGGAAATATTTGAAGTTTTTAGTGGATTAGATGTTTTTCTGTCTTCTTTACTTTAATGTTGGTCGATAAGAAATAAATGCCTCAGGTAACACCGTGAGCTTCACGGCCTCCACATTACAGCCATGCTGTTTGTTAGTTAGTCCGAGGTTAACTCACCATGAGTTACATTTCCTCCTGGACAGAGCGATCTTACTGTTCATGTAAAGTATTTGATAATGTTCTTCTAGAAACAATTCCTGAATGTTGTTCATACTGTGCTAATGTTACATGTTTGTCTCTGGACCCCACAACTGGGTAACATCACAGCAGACCTAGTCCACTACTGGAGTTTTAATTAAGTATTTTAAGCTACTAATAAACACGATGGATGATGATCATATTGCTTTATGCTAGGCCTTTAGTAAGAAGTTGTGATTATTATTATTGTTTCATATTATAGTGATTTTTTTCCTAAAACTTAACTTAGGCTACTCTGTGCTTCTTAGACTGTGACTAGGATGTGTGAGAGAAGTGGAGCGAGCTCTATTCACACAAGGAGAGCTGTTGGTCAGGTTATTTCTTGTGCCATTAACTCTAAAATAGTTATTGAATCAACTGTTACTTGTGTAGGTAAAACTAGACGTTAAACAACCTGTTAAAATTCACCAGAATGCAGGAAATGGCATTTAATTTATTGAAAATTTTCTGGGGGAGGACCCCCAGCCCCCCACCAGTGTGTCCCCCCCACACACACATTTTTAATTTGTTCTTTATTTCTACAGGTTACTCCCATTGAGCCTCGGGGACTCATTTACAAGTGAGACCTGATTTTAACAACGACGACGATGACGACTCCTCTCAAAAGAGGCATACAGATATTTATTTATTTCAAGAATCAAAACAAAATAGCAACCAAAAGGAAAAGTAGTGGTAAAAAACAGCTAGATTACGAGGCGGTGTAGAAAACAGGAACATCTGCAGGAACTTATCAGATGTTTGAAACCACTTAGAGAGGTCAAAGGTCGAGAGCTTCAGATCTTTTTACAAGATGTTCCAGGAAACAGGAGCGGAGTAGGAGAAGGTCCTTTTGTCTAGTTCAGTCCTCACTGAGGGAACACTGCAGGTAATGATGTCCTGAGAGCGCACGCTGTAGCTGCA